ACACACACACACACCAACGAGCATAATGTTATATTATTTTTCAAAACGGTAAAATAACTAAATTGCTTTTATATAAAAGACACATGCCTTAACTTAAAACTTATTTAACGGTTTTAACTCGAAAGATCGTAAATGTTAAAAAATGAAAAAGTGTAAAACAACCGATATAAATATTACATTTAAGGGACCATGTCAAAATTTTGAACAAACCCTAAGCCTTTTAATGCTTTGTTTGTTTTCATAAAAAAGCTTTTATCAGCCCATTATATCTGATTCATTAAGAGATAATGTCATTTAAACTAATTGTTTTTTTCTAATTTTTCAGATGCACTTATATCTTATTTCCTCTTATCTGATAAGAGGTAAACCAACCTCTTATTTGTCTTTAATTGTTCTTCATATTCTCAAACAATAGCGTTTCTTAATGGATTAACGTTAATCGATCATTTCTCTAAAATCGATCCTTATTAATCAATACTCACCTCTCTCAATTAATGTATTTTAATAGGATGTAAATGTGTTAAACAACATTAATGACAAATTTTGGTTTAAATGAATGTTAATTATATAATTTAGATGTAAATTTCATAATGATGGTGAATAAATATGTGAAATTGTATAAATTTATTTATAAATTCAACAGTATAATTTTTAATGGGTAAAATAGACAATTTAAATAAATTCATACGTTTATCAGTTCATAAAAATAAACAGTCTTATTGATTCAGATTTCAAATTTCAACACCACCTCAAAAGTGAAATATGATTTCGAATTTCAGCAATTTTTAAAAAATAAACGTCACCAAAATTGTGTTCATTTAATTAGCTCATACCTATGATTTAAATTTTTAATAACAAAAAGTAGAAAATATGATTAATTAAATTGAATAAAAGGCCAAGATTTATTCTTTTGTTGTCTCTTTTCTTGTAGATAGTCCACGTGTGTGTGTGTGATGCCAAATTCCAATTGATATTTAAGGTTGCTTCCAAGAACCACACTCAATGCGCCAAACTCCCGGCTCCTTTTCCGCCATCAACTCCTCACGTGTTGCTTTATGTGTCGAAAAGTCCACTCTCTTGACCAACGACCAACTTTTGATTATTTATACAAATTTTATTCCTTCACTGGAATTGAACCATGGCTACTTCCAACAACGAGTGGCTCCAAATTTACCAAAATAACCTCACCGGAACCGCTCAACCCACGGTGGTGCGGTGGTCAGGTGATGTTATCACCGAAGCCACAACAGTCACCACCGCTAGTACTGCCTCTAGTCATCTCACCCGTGTAACACGGCCCATCAACCCCCGTCGGCGGTCCAGGGCCTCAAGGAGGACGCCGGTCACCTTACTCAATACTGACACCACCAACTTTCGTGCCATGGTCCAACAGTTCACAGGTATAGGAGGCGGCGGCGGCGGTGGTGGTTCTACGTCATTTCCGGCAGTTCCTACTACTGTTTCTCCTAGTCAGTCTCTGACCAGTTACAACACTAATTCATCCGGTTTTAATCATTATTCTGCTGCTGCTGGTGGTTATGACTTGGAGTTCCGGCAATCACTGCCACAGCAGCAGCGGTATTACACAATGGCGGCGGAGAACGGCGGAGCTGCTAGTGATGGTGATAATCAACATGGCTTCTTTCAGAGACTTCTTGAAGAGGGTATGGGAGGGTCTAATAAGGCTGCAAACTTTTACTGAGAGAATAACGATGGTGGCAAGAACAATACTTGCATGTTTAGAAACCCTCGTGAAAAACATATATATATATATATATATATATATATATTAGGGTTCTTTTTTTCCTGAAATGCTCTTACAGAAATCTGTTTTTTAATTGTAATTTAACGGTTGAAATCTATGTACATAATGGTTTTCTGTTACAGGGTTTTTGCATCTAATTTACTTTTATTTAAGTAGAGTTTTCGAACAAATTAAGGTCTTAGTTTTATAACATCTTAACGGAACATGCTTTCTAGTTGTTGGGATGGAGGAAAGGTTGCCTATATTACGTTTCTCATACCTTATACGTGGAATTAACTAGGTTTGTTTGGTTTGATTATAGTTTTATGATAAATCTCCAATAGCATGCACATGGTAGAGATATTTCTAATGGTATTGTCGTCATCGGATTGTTTTGGAATATGGTTTTTTAAGTCAATTATCACAAGTCTACGAAGATATAACATGTGGTATCGGTTGAGGTTTTTAGGATCTTCAAGAACGGAAACGGGCCCGTGACAGGGAAAGAAAGTTGCATGCCATACCTTCAATATTCATAATTTTTTTAGAGTGGTATGACATGATAAAAACACTTTTTTATTTCATTAAGTTTCATACAAACCATAAAGTTTTAATATTTAACCAAAAAAATAAACTAATTGTACCCTTTTTTAGGTATACGATTAAAGACCTAAAAAGAATTACACTTTGCACTTTTTCCGTTATCTCACAAACAGTCATACCGTCAAGGATAGGTCGTCCGGCCATGCTCAAGGTGTCAAGCTTTGTCGATATGTTGCCATAATCCTAAAAGGGGCCGGTTCGTCCATGTTCAAGGTGTCAAGCTTTGTCGATATGTTGCCATAATCCTAAAAGTGACATCGAGTATGTCATAACAGCTACAGTACTAAAAAGTTGCATAATACATTTGTAGCACATCCATTCATTATATTACATATTGCACACAAGCTACAATTTTTAATGTACATGAAAACATTTTACCAAAAGGGTATGTCTAAAAAGAAGACGTCTTAACATATATTGAAAAAAAAGAAGTCGATGTAGAACTCTAATATGCCTCCTTCAACAAAAATATCTCAGACCTCGACTCTAATGTCATGAAAATACTTAAAACGTCATCAGGCATTAGATTGCTATCCAAAAGATCTCGTGAAAAGAAGAAGGGTTCCAACAATTTCCAAATATAACCAATGTGGGACTCTAACAGCATCTCTAACCACCGGTCCAACAACATAACAAGGAAAGTGAATCATGTATTCGACAAGCAGGTAGTCAAACCTCGGACCTCAAAATCTTTCTATATGAATTTCCACCTCCTTACCAGCTATAATAAAGCACCAAAGCAAAACATACACAGACAAGTAACACAAAAGACAATTTCAATGATTCTTCAACATAAACATTCACCAATTAGGCACTTGACATGACAACATATGAACATCCACCCTAAAGTGAGAAACAATCTCTCTTTCTTCAAGGTTATACAAGATGAAGGATGAATCTTTCAGGTTTGGTTTGGTTTGGCTGTAAATGGATTTAAAGAAATGGTTATTCAGATGGGTCCCACACATCCATGTGTTAGGGAAATAAACCTCTTCTTATTTCCTCTTGGTGTTGCCGATAGTTAACAGTTCAAAGCTTCGAAGAGCATCATCACGGCCCCCTCTTGATGAGGGTACAGCACGTGAGAAAGATGATGACTTGGATTCAAATCCAGGTTGAGAATGAATCCTTTGGTTGGTGGATATGCGACCGCTGCCTGAACCTAGTCGGTTTGATCGGCTCTCGCTCGGTTCACCGGAGGAGCTTGGTCTGCTGCTTGACACAATTGCTCTTTTTGAAGTACTACCGGTTCGTGAGATGCGACCTCTATCTGAGTCACCGTGCTGAATATACAAACACAGCCAAAAAAAATTATGCAAGAAAGAGAGATAAAACCTTAACCCAAAAGACCAGAACGATCCACCTAAGTGCCCAGAGGCGGACCCCAATATTTTTTTTAGTGGTAGCACAAAATAATTACTGTAATATAGTCAAGAGTAAAATGCAGCAAGGAATATTACTGACCACTTCTTTGGAGGATGTTGCACGTTCTGAAGATCTGTGTCTTGAGTGTTCACCATGCAAGCCACTACCAGAACCATTTCGCCTAGCAAATGCCTCGACTGCGCCTGAGAGTCTATCCCGAACCTCTGGTCTCACTAGAAAAATGTAGATGGTATAAATTAGACAAAGCGTATAAAGAATATTGACATGCATAAGTCAGTATATGCATTCCTACATACGTGCATATACACATACATACATATATAGAAACGACGTATATTCAATATATTATATGCGTGTGCAAACATATAGAAAAGCTCAATGAACACACACATTGTCACAATCTTGTGATCGATCATACAGACCCTTTCAACAGCTACACAAAGCATACCATATATCATTTTGACATTTATACACAAACACATATATATAGACATACATATATAATATATATGTGTGTGGGCATACAGAAGTTCAGTAAGCAGACACACTGCCATAACCTTATAATCACACAGAAGCACACCATGAATAATCCTGACATGGTATACATCTCTACATACGTTCCTACGTATATACACACATATACACCATATATACACATCCATACATGGTGACATACATAAGTTCAGTAACACACAGTGCCACAATCTCATGATCATATAGAGATACATTCAACCACTGGACAAATGATACCAAAAATAATCTTCACATGTTATATGTCTATATATACACTCATACACATATATAGGCCGTAATACATACAGAAGTTAAGTACACACATTGCCACAATCTTATGATCCTATAGCACTTCCAACCATCAGGCAAAGCATACTATAATTTTTTAGATGGTATACATCTATCCATGCATACAGCATACATACATATATATCTTGAGGTTCGGTAAATACACAATGCTGCAATCATACGATCATACATATGCTTTCAAACCATTAGATAACATAAAAAATATTGACTGGCATACACATGTATGTGTATATTTATGTATACACTAACTACACATTATAATTATTACAAGCTCATCCTCTACATTGTCCACCTCTTAATCAACTATGCTGATCATGCAACATCAAGTTATAGCAGTTGACTTTCTGTTGGAAATAGCATCAGTGGACTTAAAAAATATAGAGTTCAAACTGAAAGGAAAATCAAACCTGGGGTTTTTTCCACTCTTTCTGCCGAAGGTCCCGGGTTCAGTGGTAATTTCCCAACCGTCTGATTTGTATTAGAGGTTTATAAGATGCAAATCCTTCAACAGAAAAAAGAAAAGAAATGAAGACTAGAAGAAATACTGACCCGTCCTCTGGAACTGGAACCTGAACCAATTTGAGGATACTTCAAAATAGTCCAGTCAAATACATAGTCGAACTGATAACCTGAAATATGACCACCGCACATCTAATGCTGAAATCTATTTCAAAGGATAGAAGAAGATAATTATGATGATACATTGTTCATACTTAATATTTAACTATCTCAGAACGGAAAACAAATCCTCAATAATATACGCGTGTTCCCATATCAAGTGTTTTTGTGCATGGGTCATTTGAAATGGGCAGCCACATGAAAAGGGGAAGCTTAAATAAGATCCAAACTTTTACCTTCTCGAATGAAAAGATCGCGAAAAAGCCTTTTCAAGTATGAATAATCTGGCTTGTCGTCAAAGCGTAATGATCGACAATAATGAAAATACGATATGAACTCAGTCGGATAAGACTTGCAAAGCACCTGTAGATTTTGCCATTTAGAAGTCACTTCGTTAAGATGGTATGAATGGACATTTTTAAGCTCTCATTGCTTAATCATACGTAAGAGTTTCTTATAATATATTTAATCTCAATAATACCTCTATAGGTGTAAGCCTCTTCTTTTCACTAATTTTATCATATTTCTGCTTCTTAGTGCCAGCTTTCAGCCCCTGCCAAGGAAGGCTTCAACAACATGAACATAATACCAAGTTAGAATATGGAAGCTAAAAAGTATAAAGGAAAAAAGAAATAGATCACGGTTAGGATATATTAAACCTTCCTCTCAAGAAATACATTAGCACATAACCAAGAGACTCCAGATCATCCCTCCTGCTTTGCTCTGCGATTGACAATCCAAAACAAGTTACTATAGGAACTCCTGAACCCTTCTAAAAATTGTTTTTATCATGTCTTAGGTTCAAAGTAGACATTTATCTTATAAGCAATGATAACTAGAGTGTAGATTTACGAGGAATAATACTATCACCCAAAAATAATAATGACGGTGTTTCTAGAAGAAAACTATTCTTGTCTGGTCCAAAATAGAAATGTTGAAGATAATATGAGATGGTGAGTTATCACAGAAAGGACATTATATACAAAACACATCTCCAACACACTGAAATGCACTAGATTACTTACCAACTCCAAGGTGGGTATTAACACTGGCATAACGAGCAGTACCAGTGAGATTTTTGTTTTCCCTGAAATGAAATTGGCAACAATTTGCGGTGAGTAATCTAAATCTATGAAACAAAAGGGAGCCAAACACTAGAGGCAATAGGAAACGCATCCAAAATTAAGTCATGGGAATAATGGTATTCAGAATATTTTTCCACAAAATTTATGCACAAAGATTTGTCTATGGTACCAAATTAGGTCTTCTAATGTTTTCACATTTAATATATATGTATAAACAACATGTTGATGATTACATATATTGTAACTTAGAAGCAAACCATTCATCTATAACAAGAGCCATCAATTGCAGAACGAAATATTGTTGACTTGAAGAAAAATTGTAAGAGAGATGGTACAGGCGCCTTTGATGGCAAACCACTAAAAGGAAGTAGAAAAGATCAGGAGTCATTTGGCAAATTCACATCAAGACAAATGTAAGACACATTAGCTTGTTTAAGTTTCTTTTACGAATGTAGAAACATACAATAATGGGTTTCCACTTCCAGAACAACAAAAAAATGGAAGACATGATGAATGACAAAAACTAGAATAAGAAAATCACAAAGCTACTAATTGAGAAAACATAGTATAAAATATATATTTGCCACCAAAACAATCACAAAATGGTAATACAAATACAAAAGTGCAGCAACAAGAAGTACAAAAGGCATAGATAGATCAGCAATCTGTGAGTATCGACATATGTCTTCTTTGTTTATGGCTTGAACAATTAGTGTTTACAGCAACAGGCCAATGCGCTGAACATTTGAAATGTACTCTTTATTTACTGTTTTTCAATGCAACGATTTGTCTACTGTGTTTTGGAAGTTCTAGCAAAATAACACCCATTTTATTATTTTAATAATTAATAGCATACTTGTTTTTAACTAATATGATCTGTTTTTTAACAAAATGTCAAAATGTTTTTGTAGCTTCAATTTTGGCGGTCTCCATGTTTAGTTGGTCTTGAGAGTCCATTTTGGGTTGTCTAGTTTGGTTGTTTTTTCTGTTTAAAGCCTAGAGCTTTTGGGTAGTTTTTTCAATTAATATAACTTTGTTTTAGTAGTACAAACTAGTTATGCATGATATGTCCATTTTGATTAGTTTCCGGATTTTTTATCTTCAGAAAATGAAGTTAGCAAGTAAAATATAGACTGCAAAAGTAAAATAGGAGTAATATATATGGCAAATTAATTTTAGGTTGTTTTTAACTAAAACTATGTAGTTATGGTATATTTAAGTTTGACAAAAAATCAATTCAAGTTTCGTGAAACCAAGTTCTTCCGTGCCATTTCATTAAACATCTTATGTGCATACACTATAGAAAGATGAATAAAAAGAGCATAAGGATAGTTCATGTTAGACCCATCCACAACATGTAAACAAAAATAGATATGTATTTGTTCGAATTTCGGCCTTTTGAGTAACCCTTAATGACAGTGGTAAAGTTTAAGATAGCTGGATCAGGATGCTGAAGAAAAATGAAATAAGATAGTTCATGTAGAGGATCTTGATATGAATGGGATCTTCTTTGGGTTAGAGGAAGCCCAAAGATAATCATGAAAGAATGCATATGTTTCAACACGCACAATGATTTGCAGTTCTCAAGCAAGGTGATTAAATTCCTATCTTTAGTAATAAGATAGCATTCAGCATTTGCTTAGGCTCAACACCCCTTTGGTTTCTTTTGGGGAAGGGAAGGGAAATAAGGAGGTGTTTGGGGATAAAAGTAAAGTAGGTAGGGGATTATACAAGTATTTCTAATCAAAAGTATAAAGTTTTGTTATGTTAAATATGAAAGCTTGCATATAGCAACATACTCACTAATCCATTATATGTGTGTGTGCAGATCTTGTGAACCAAAATGAATAATAACTACGTTAATAATGATTGCTATTCGCGATGGAGGTAAGCAAATAGCTTGACATGCAAAAAGAATGATCTGACTCATGTGGACATCCCAAAAGAAAAGGACATTGGCATCCTCGGGGCAAAAGAAGAGCCATATTATGTTTCATCAAATAGATATGCATGCAAATTTACAGCATCATCATCCAATAAAGTTAAGCTGCAAAAAAACTGTCTCTTGATATCCTAAGTAAAGATCCAGGTAAGATAGTTAATTCTATAATATTTGCAAATATTTTTTAACCAAAAAAGTTGGAGATAACAAGCATGAAAATTTACAGAGAATAAGATTCATCAAGTCAGCAAGAAAACTATTAAGTATATTTTTCAATGGAACACATATCATTTGACAATATTAAGTCATACATTTGTACATTAATCAACAACCCACTTTCATAGAAGAATTTAAGATGGATAGGTGATGGGAACTGTTATGACAACCATGTGTACGTTTCAACAGTACAACAAATCGTTTGACCTTTTTAAGTTATTTGTTCATAAATATAAGTAATGAATTATGACAGCAAAGCTAATCTTTCAACTTATCACACCAAATAATATACCAAAAGGATACAAGAATAAACTTCTATCAGATTGCTCAAGAACATATCAGTTGTAAAACCTAGCAGCAAGCAAGATAGGAAAAGTAATATCACTTCCACTTGAGTTTATGCATAATCATTTCCAATACCTGTATGGTATATGCTTGTGCGTTTGGAGATCCCTATACTTTTTTGCAAGACCATAATCTATAATGTAAACCTGTTGTAAAATAAAAAAAACAACCACAAATATGTTGATGATCAGAATCTCGTATGGACAACAGAAGAATGTAGATGAAGGTTGTGGGACCCATGTTATGCTGAACATTAATTACACAGGCTAACACATTAAAGGTGCAATAGAGTTCATATATATCACAGAATGTCTAAAAGCATCCATCAGTACGAGATCAAATGAAATCAAACTGATACCTGAACTGGAAGATAAGCTGCAGCATTCTTAACATGAAAACTGTATAGAACAAATGAAGATATGCTGCCCGAGGAACTAAAGTAAATATAGTCAACCTTGGCATGCAATGTGAAGCCTTATCTTGTAAGAGGTATTGAGTAAAGAAATTTATACTTATCAACAACTAAAAACGAGAACTTAGAGAACAAGAGACGGGAAGAAAAAATTGTGCACTATATTGAATGAATTGCACACACACACACACACACACACACACACACACACATATATATATATATATATATGTATATACTTGAGAACTCCAACTACTCAACAAAGTAACTGACGACAAAGTTAGTTACGACTATAATAAAAGAAAATTACAAATCTATCCTCCTTTATCTAATAGGGGAGGATAGATTTGTAATTTTCTCTTGCTAAAGTTGTAACTAACATTGTAATCGGTTACCTATTGATTAGTGGGAGTTCACAGGTACATACATACATATATATATAGGGTTGGGTTATGGTGAGAAGGAGAGTTAAGGTGGAAGCGTAAGAAGTGATCTGGACCGTTGATCACCTTTAATCTCAAACCCACCCATGAATCGGGCTTGATACGGGGATTGATCTGGTGCATCTCATCCTAATGTGCATCCAAGGGTGGAGATCCCTTCTTGCGCTTCTCACATTATCTCTCCTTCTCACCGGAACCCAACCCTAAATACATATATATGTCAGAGCGTACGTGTAAATAATTCATTCAATCTAATGCATAGTTTCTTCCCCCAATCTCATCTTCTCTAAATTCTCTCTTCCAGTATATAAATCATCCAACTTAGCTCACTGAATTGGTATCCCAGAATCAGGTTCATCAATGGAAGCCTGGCACAAATACATGCCTTGATTCTTACAGAACTATGAAACCCTTCAATATATACCAAAGTAACCGCAGAATTTGATTAAAACATGTAAAATAACTATGTAATTACAATTTAAAATTCTCCTCAAATAATAACACAAAATAACTACAAACAGTTCACGACAAATTTGATGTTTCCCATAGCAACTGAAAGCTAGAAACAGTAAGAAATAGCACATACTGTAACGTATAAATTCCAAATATCCAAAATAAAAATCGAAATGAAGCTACAGTATACAAGCCATAACTCATAAAACAAATTACCTGATTTGCCTTTCGTCCTAGACCCATCAAAAAGTTGTCTGGCTTTATATCACGGTGAAGGAAACCTCTTGAATGCATATATTCAACTCTGTTTATCTGCATGAAACAATTGAAAGCTGCAAGTGTTGATACAACGTGTTCAGCAACCTTCTCATTACACAAGGCAGCATACTTACCAACTGATCTGCAAGCATTAAAACTGTTTTCAACGTGAATTTCCGATTACAATAATTGAATAAGTCTTCTAAACTTGGTCCAAGAAGATCAATAACCATAGCATTGTATTCGCCTTCAACTCCGATCCATTTGAGGTGGGGAACGCCAGCTGCGTTATATTAATAAGAGTGTATTGTAAGTTCCTTCATATACCAGCAAAAAAGTGGGAAAGATAATAAGAACACAAGGAAAAACATGAAACTCACTTCCTCCTTGAAGAAGCATGTACAATTTGGCCTCATAGTGAAGCTGTGGGTGCTTGGTCTTGACAGATTCCTGGAAACGATGATAACTTAGACCACACATATAAAAAAAAAAATGAAGTACTCTCAAGGAAAGATCTGATAACTTTTTGACGTCTTAATCCAACCTAAAATTCCTCAAGCGAAACTATCTCCAGATCTTTTTTAAAAAGTACAAAAGTAAGCACAAAATATTAACTTCTAAATAAGTACAGAGAACAGTACTTGAACGGTCTCCTTCTTATTCCCTTTCCTTTCCGTTCTTTACCGTATTTCTTTTGTACTTAACCACATTTCTCAGATCTTTGACATCAGTAGTATATATTAGGTGAATTTTAGATGCTACTCTGCTGGTTTATTTTACTACCTATTACTGTAAAATAAAATTACTCTTCAACTTTATTGTAGCTGTTGAATGAAAATATTATTGTTTATTTTAGCTGTTAATTTGGTTTAACCTTGCTTTTCACATTTACTGTTAAATTTATGTTTAAATACTATTATGTTTTAGTTTAGTTAATGTTAGCTACAATCTTTTTCCCTAGTTGCAAATTGTTGAATTTTTTTTGGTGACTTTTGAAAAAGCACTATTTACATATTAACTGTTTTTTAATATTCATTTCACTTGGTTGTTTGTAGCTTTTAGCATAGAAATACTGCTGTCTTTTGGTTTGATTAGTTTTTCAAAATTTCTGACAATGAGGCATGCCACACCGTGTGCTGCTCGCTATGGCTCATTTCTGGGTTTGCATGATTGCCCTTGTCGCATGCCATGACTAATATGGTACAGAAACACTTCATTGGATTTTATGCAATTAAGTTCCAGATAACACCAACAGAAGAATGAGCTACTGAACTAACAAATAAACATTAAGATGCTGAAGAATGAAAACTCCCATTGATTTTCGTGAAAAAACTCTAGTCAGGCATCTAAACGAACATTATACACTGAATGTTCAATATTACACCCCAATTTCCTACATGCTTATAAACATGGACTTCCACATCTACATTTGGAGCACGTACACAACTTGAAAGTTCTATATGCATACAAATAGCATAAGCATAGTACTTGCATGTAACCGTAAACAGTCATATAATTACATCAATAAGAGTATCATTGTTTCAGAGTATAGTTCTATGTTACTAGAGAATAATACCTTTGCTCAATATCCGACAACTAGAGAAATGACCAAGCACAGTACACAAGTAGACAAAAATGTGATATGCTAAGGGTAGATTTATGTGTATTGTGCTAGAGGTTAAGGTTAGTTGTTTTACAACTTGGCTTGTTAGGTGCTTTCCAAACTGCAAAAGATGGTTCCTGAAAATTTTTGTTAGCATTGTTTAACGATAAGTAAAGTTAGAGTAGTTTCTCTATACTGCTATAGCAGAACTTTTTACATTTTCCAACAAAAACTAGTTTGGTTTGCTGAGTAAGGAGAAATAAATTTTCTTTATAGCAGATATTATAACTTATAAGACCTCCCATATTAATGGTAGTACAAACTGCGTCAAACCAATGATGCCAGTACATATTATGATATCTAAAATGAGGGTACTCTATGAAATCAATACACTGCAATTTCACTCTGGTATGGAGATCTATCAAAAAGAAATTGTATGGGGAAATATAGTTTCCCAGAAACTCCAGGATAGTTGAGAACTGATAGGCATCTTGACCTTATGCACCAATCAATGCCTAATGGGGCTTGTATGCCAATCATGTTCAAATTGCATTCATAGTTGTAATTCGGAGACTTTTGGTGAGTTAAAATTTATCATGAAGCTGCAAGCTTTACTTTACAATTTCTTTTTTCACCTATTCATTCAAACTACAATTTCTTGATTAGGTACTCACTCTAATTACCCAATGACATGAAACATAGTTTAGACATAGCATAACAATTCAGGCAAAGAGAAAACCCCAAACATATGTGCTAATTGGTAGGTAGGACCATAAGACTGGTTGCACATGTAAGCATGAAAGCAAATCACCTTTCTGGGAATTATAGAAAAAGATCCCAACTTCTATATAAGGAGAGAACTTGGGCTACAGATTAATACTCAAATGGAAGATATTTACAAAAACCTATAGTTATATGCTAAACCAGACACCATAACTTCAATAGCAAAATTTACTTGCCGAATTAAGAAAAGAAACCTTATGCAGTATAAATGAAGACAACCTTATCAAACCACATAACCAATAGTAGCATGTAATTTAAATATAGATAAATACGATTCATATGCCAGCATTTGCACAAATGTAAAACCCCTAGAGAGATACCAGCTTGACAGCAACTTCTTCTCCACTTTGAACATTTACTCCTGCGAAAGTGGGAAGAAAAAGAAATCAATCACAAATGCAACAAAACCATGGAATTAGAAGTTGTGAACAACGGCAGCAACAACAACGAGGTTTTGCCATAGAAACATGTTGAAGAAAAAAATAATTACCCAAATAAAGCTCTCCGAAAGATCCACTACCAATCTTTCTCCCAAGCTTAAACTTCCCACCAATCACATGATCCATGAGGAAATCCCAAAAAACCAAACCGTTAGCGGATTCGACTAATTAACTTTCTGTCCAACCCCTTGACAGAAATTCACCGCCGGAAAAGCTAAGATCTCCAAAATGCACTCAGATCCATCAAACACAAACTCGCGAAATACAAAATCTCCACACCAAAATCTACAGCAAATTTTGATATGAAGATTTGTGAGAAAGCAATACAAGTCGATGATGTCTATCAATGCCAGAAACTTAAGAACCCCCAGCAACAAGGAATTTGTCAACAAAACAATGAATCGATAAAAACCCTAGAACCTACACCATCTGTGAGAAAGAAGAAACTGGTTCCTAGAACCTAAACTAAAATACAATATTTCTTAAAGAAATTGATCAGAAACTCGATAAAGATGATGACGCATAGCAAACATAAACACGATAAGGATTTATTTATGAATGGGAATAGAGGAGGAGGCGGAAGTGAAGATTTTTTGAAGTGAGATCGAAGGGGAGGAATCTAAGAAGACGAAATCAAAGGCGAAATTCGTTTTGGGGGTTGAGATTCCATAGGATCTGCGGGAAGAAGGAAAGAATTGAAGCAGACGACCGATTTTGAGGAGAAATATTTTTGTTGCGAAGAAAAGCAGGGATAAGAAACGATTCGGAATTTCTTTATATTTTTCTTTTTTTTCTTCCAAATAAAACATATATATATATATATATATATATATAGGGTATATTTCTTTTACAACCTTGTGCATTTGTACAACTTTTGCAACCCAATTAATTGAGATATTTATAGAAATGATTGGAGTTCATTTATTATAATTTGAATATTTATGGAATATGAATAGAGTTTATTAATTATGATTAATACTTTATATTAGGAAACAATTAATTGATTAAAAATTGAATGGTTGAGATGAGGGTTGTATAGGGTGTAGAATAACATCCCTCTATATATATATATTTAATCTATACTATATTATAAAACATTTGACAAAAACTCTTAAAAACTATTTTTTATGCTTAAAGTATCTATACTATCTTATAAA